GCAGATTTCATGGAACCTATTAGTAGTCGTAATTGGGTTGATGGTTGGGCTGGATGATCTTCAAGGTCTTTTCCAACCTAGACAATTCTGTGATTCTGTGAAATCAAGAGCAAGACAAAGCCGAGGAAATTTCTCCTCTGAGCCAGAGCACCTTCATTTATTTATTCTTCAGTTCAGGAGTGACACTAAAAACAGTAGGCATCACTGTCAGCCCTAAGAGGGGAACTGGAAAGAGGGAAGGTGAGAGAAACCCGGGGGAAGTACTGTAAAAAAATGTTTAATGCAACATGTCCCGAAGGCGTGACGCTGCCCTGTGTACATAATTTATTATCCCTCTTTTCTGCAGGGCAGCACTCAGGACTTGCAAGAAGAGACCGAAGCACTAATGACTGATGTCAGGGAGCACTTCCAATCTTTATTAAATGTATTGAACAATACCTTGGCAAATTGAGTAAAACTGGAAGCAATATGATAACCCTGAATCTGCATTTTTAAAGGCTTTAAAAGTCCTATCGAAAGGTGTGCCGCTGCAAGATAAAGCACAGAGTTTTTGAAAAGGAGACTTTAATCCATTCGATATATGCCATACAAATAGCTCTACTCTGCTAGACCTGGAGCTTTAACTGGAATAGAAGTACTGTTTCCTCTTTTTTTAAAAAAAATAAAATAAAATTCCAGTTATCTTGTTTTACAGCTTTCTACAATATAGTCCTTAGCCAGCACAGACCTACACTGAGGCAATTATTTTCCTTTACTCTTAAAAGAAATACAATATCTGATGGTGGCAAATGTGCAAAGCACAGAAATTGCCAAGCCTTACTCCAGATTCTTATTACACTCTTCTATTTCCTCAGTTGTTGTATAATTATGGACAATTAGGGCTGAGAGCACCAAGGTCAGTTTTGCTCCTTTAAGTGTGCTTGCCATAAAAGGGCTCTATTTTAGTCTTGCTGGTGGGGTGCGCTTAAACAGAAATGGCACACAGGGAAAAATACGTGGGAGTTTGATTCAGTCAAAGCAAACTTAGAATGTGCTTCCTTCAAGTGGTCCAAATCCCAGAGCAGCCCTTCTGTGGGCACGAAACCTCCCAGGTGAGGGGGAGGCTTACAGCAGAGCAAGCACATGAGCTAGCACAAGAGCTCCCAGGTGAGGGGGAGGCTTACAGCAGAAAGAGCTCATGCTATGTTCTGGCTGGTCTCTATATGTGTGTTACAAAGGCCCAGATGTTTAAAACATTTTAAAAACTGCGACTCACCCTTGTTCCTTTCTGATTGTGATTCCTTGAATAGGGGTAAAATGCACCCAGCTGCATCCAGCGAAGACACAGCTCATACTCTGAATCTTTGAAGAAGCCACAGATATCAGCTCCTGTCTGAAAATTTAAAAAGGATCCAATTGGAATACTACAAAATCATGTATAGCATCAGGATTATTAAAGGTAAGGTAATAATTCATTAGCTTACATAAGATATTCCAAAGAGACTGAACTCCATCATGCCTGAAAGGAAAAATAATTCAGCATTACGAGTTGGATTATTTTCCCCCCTTTTCTAATGTTAATGGTTATACAGATAATACATATTGTAATGCTGAATGAGAAGGAAAAAAAAACCCAAACACAAACCCCATGTTTTCTCTAAGGTATGATGTTTTTCTGGTACAGAAAAAGATGGGAGCTGGCTGGTCAGGTGCAAAGAAAGAAATTAATGGCAGGACACAAGGCATGAAGGTGGCTGGTCCTGAGCTAATAAAAGAGCTCCCAGCACCTGGTGTGGAAGCAAAGAGAAAGAGTAAAAAAGGAATTGACCACAAATTCTTGTTACTGAACTGAAGTGCTTATTTCAGCTAAAACCATATGAATACCGAGAGCAGGTAGGTGAAGGAAAAGAAATAACTGCACCCTGAGTTGAATACAGATCTTTTTCCTTCTACATACCAATAACAGATTTAGCTAGCTGATCCCAAGCAGCAGTGTTGTCACCAAGCCAGTGTCCTGCCCATCTTCCACTGCTGGGATATGTGGAACGGGTTATAACAATCCCACGCTCCTTGGTGGCACTCTGCAAACCGCTGAGATTGAAAACAGACAAAAAAAAAAAAAGAAAAAAAAATTACATGAGAAATATTGCACAAGAATTTATTACATAAGATCCTCTGAAAACAAACATAAGGGCTTCTACTTTCATAGTGAAGGGCAGCATTGTTTTATGCATGAACATGCATACGCCCAATCCAGATGTGCTTTTTACAGCGATTCATTACGATCCACACGTTCACAGAAACTCAGCAGCGTCAGCCAACCTGTAGCTGAAAAGAGAAATGGCAAACAGGGAGG